CACTACAGACACCACAGAAATACAAAGAATTATTAGAGAATACTACGAAAAACTATTGGCTAACAAACTGGATAGCCTACAAGAAATGGACAACTTTCTAGAAAAATACAACCTGCCAAGCCTGACCCAGAAAGAAACAGAAAATCTGAACAGACCAATTACCATCAATGAAATTGAACTGGTAATCAAAAAACTACCAAAGAACAAAACCCGTGGGCTTCACTGCTGAATTTTATCAAACATTTAGTGAAGACCTAATACCCATTCTCCTTAAAGTTTTACAAAGAATAGAAGAGGGAATACTTCCAAACTAATTCTATGAAGCCAGTATCACTCTAATACCAAAACCAGGCAAAGACACCCCCAAAAAAAGAAAATTACAGACCAATATCCCTGATAACCATAGATGCAAAAATACTCAACAAAATATCAGCAAACCGAATTCAAAAATACATCAAAAAGATCATCCACCATGACCAAGAAGGATTTATGCCAGGGATGCAAGGATGGTACAACATTTGAAAATATATCAACATCATCCACCACATCAACAAAAAGAAGGAAAAAAACCACATGGTCATCTCCATAGATGCTGAGAAAGCATTTGACAAAATTCAATATCCATTCATGATAAAAACTCTCAACAAAATGGGTATAGAAGGCAAGTACCTCAACATAATAAAGGCCATATATGACAAACCTAAACCCAACATTATACTTAACAGCGAGAAGCCGAAAGCTTTTTCTCTAAGACTGGGAACAAGACAAGCATGCCCACTCTCCCCACTTTTATTCAACATAGTACTGAAGAGTCTAGTCACAGCAAACAGACAACACAAAGAAATAAAAGGCATCCAGACCGGCAAGGAAGAAGTTAATCTGTCCCTGTTTGCAGATGACATGATATTATACATAAATAACCCTAAAGAATCCACTCCAAAACTACTAGATCTAATATCTGAATTCAGCAAAGTTGTGGGATACAAAATTAATACACAGAAATCTGTTACATTCCTATACACTAAAGATGAACCAGCAGAAAGAGAAATCAGGAAAACAATTCCATTCACAGTTGCATCAAAAAGAATAAAATACCTAGGAATAAACCTAACTAAGGAACTGAAAAAACTATACCCTGAAAACTACAAGACACTCATGAGAGAAATTAAAGAAGATACCAAAAATGGAAACACATCCTGTACTCATGGATAGGAAGAATTAATATTATCAAAATGGCCATCCTGCTAAAGCAATCTACAGATTCAATGCAATTCCTATCAAAATACCAACAGCATTCTTCAATGAATGAGAGCAAATCATCCTATAATTCATATGTAACCACAAAAGACCTCGAATAGCCAAAGCAATCCTGAGAAAGAAAAATAAAGCTGGAGGAATTACGATCCCCAACTTTAAGCTCTACAACAAAGTCACAGTAATCAAGATAATTTGGTACTGGCACAAGAACAGAACCATAGACCAATGGAACAGTCTAGAGATCCCTGATATAAACTCAACCATATATGGTCAATAAATATATGATAAAGGAGTCATGGACATACAATGGGGAAATGACAGCCTCTTCAACAACTGGTGTTGGCAAAACTGGACAGTTACATACAAGAGAATGAAACTGGATTATTGCTTAACCCCATACACAAGATGGATCAAAGACCTGAATGCAAGTCATGAAACTGTAAAACTCTTAGAAGAAAACATAGACAAAAATCTCCTGAATGTAAGCATGAGCAACTTTTTCCTCAATGCACCTCCTCAAGCAAGGGAAACAAAAGCAAAAATGAACACATGGGACTACATCAAACTAAAACGTTTCGGTACGGTAAAGGACACCATCGGTAGAACAAAAAGGCATCCTACAGTATGGAAGAATATATTTGTAAATGACATATCCGGCAAGGGGTTAGCATCCAAAATATATAAAGAGCTCACATGCCTCAACACCCAAAAAGCAAAAAACCTGATTAAAAAATGGGCAGAGGATGTGAAGAGATAGTTCTCCAAAGAAGAAATTCAGATGGCCAACAGACACATGAAAAGATGTTTCACATCTCTAATTATCAGGGAAATGCAAATTAAAACCACAATGAGATATCACCTAACACCGGTAAGGATGGCCAGCATCGAAAAGACTAGGAACAACAAATGCTGGTGAGGATGAGGAGAAAGGGGAACCCTCCCTACAGTGCTGGTGGGAATGTAAGCTAGTTCAACCGTTGTGGAAAGCAATACGGAGCTTCTTCAAAAAACAAAAACAGAAATACCATTTGACCCAGGAATCCCACTCCTTGGAATTTACCCAAAGAATACAAGTTCTCAGAGTCAAAAAAACATATGCACCCTATGTTCATTGCAGCACTATTTATAATAGTCAAGATACGGAAGCAACCTAAGTGTCCATCAGTAGATGAATAGATAAAGAAGATGTGATACATATACACAATGGAATACTATTCAGCCATAAGAAAGAAACAAATCCTACCATTTGCAACAACATGGATGGAGCTGGAGGATATTATGCTCAGTGAAATAAGCCAGGCAGGGAAAGACAATTGCCAAATGATATCCCTCATTTGTGGAGCATAACAACGAAGCAAAACTGAAGGAACAAAATAGCAGCAGACTCACAGACTCCAAGAAGGGACCTGTGGTTACCAAAGTGGAGGGGTGTGGGAGGGCAGGTCGGGAGGGAGGGAGATGGGAATTGAGGGGTATTATGTTTAGTACACATGGTGTGGGGGGTCATGGGGAAAACAGTTAGAACAGAGCAGGCAAACAGTGAGTCTGTGGCATATGATGGACAGTGACTGCATTGGGGTATGGTTGGGGACTTGATAATATCGGTAAATGTAGTAACCACATTGTTTTTCCATGTGAAACCATCATAAGAGTGTATATCAATAATACCTTAATAATAAAAAAAAGAAACTTCAGCAACACAGTGGAAGAAAAAAAACTAAGAATCACTACACAAAAAGGGAAGGGTGTTTCAAGTAAGTCACAGTATAACTCCACCAGAAACAAAACCAGAAACCAGCAGTAGATACACACAAGAAAAAGAGAGGGGAATCAAAGTACACCACTGTGGAAAACCATCAATTTGCAAAAGAACAGTAAGGGAAGAAAGGAACAGAGAAATACAAAAGAGCCAGAACACAACTCATAAGTTTGTCTTCCTTATTTATCAAGACTTACTTTAAATGTCAATGAATTAAATTCTCCAGTCAGAAGTTGAAGAGTGGCTGCATTGATGAAAAACAAGCCCCAATTTTTTTGCCTCTAAGAGACTCACTCCAGCTTCAAGGACATATATAGGTTCAAAGTGAAGGGATGGAAAAAGATATTCCATAACAAATGTATGTAATGTTTTATTTCTTGACCTATGTGATGGATCCATGGGTATTAGTTCCATTTTTATTCTTGAAATGCTGTTTAACAGTTGATAGATTGCAAACATTTTTATAACCTAAGTAACAGAAAAACACTTGCTCCTACACAATTCTCTTTTGGGCTAATTTGTCCCCTTGGTAGGTGGTTCTCCTTTTGATTTTGCTTTCGTGGAGGGAACATGTCTGGATCAGTGCAGTCAGGAGGCACAGCTCTTTCACCAGCTCTTGGGGCTCAGTATGTGAGATTGGAAACCCTTGAAACCGGCTATAAATGCTTTCTTGGCAGAATCTCCTCTCTGATGGTTCCCGTGGTCTCTCCTTGGAGGAAGCAGAAAGCCCATCTGGCCATAGAAGCAGGTTCTATTCTCCAATTCAGCTGTACCAGGAATTTTTATCCCCAAGAGTTCTCTTGTCTATTTCTCAATTTGTTCAAAACCCACAGGGGTTAAGTTGGTGAGCTGGCACCCCTTAAGCCCCCAACAAAGACAGAAAGAAGCCTGCCAGTTTCACGAGTAGCAGAAACTCAATCCTTGCCTCCTTGTAAGACTCTGGGAAGGTGGCAGTAATTTGGAGAGGAATGTCTAGATGTACTCATGGTGAGGCTTGCTGAAATATAGTTATCAGGATTTTCAATCCGAAAGTTACACATAGGCTGCAGAGCTATCTGACTTTATAAGGGACCATGTGAACCAGGACAATGAAATGATCAGCAACAACCATGCCTTATCAAAGACATGAGTATTCTGAGCAGTTCTGCCAGTGACATGCACCAATCTTCAACTGGTAACTGTGGCCATGGAAATGTGGGATTGTGGAGCTAGTACCATAGAAATCACATGAATTTAACAATTTTATCACACAATAGGGGAGGGATGGCTCCCCCAAAGGAAGGGGATTTTAAATAGATTTTAAAAATGTTAGTTACAGTCATCTGGACAGCAGGGGCCACATTAGACAATTCTTTATGTACTACACAGGACTTAGGATACTGCCTTGACTATGACACAAAAAATATTCTGATTTGTTGATGCTTTTTACTTATGACATGCTATAAAAGCAGTGAGATAATTTTTCTTATATCAGTTTTCCCTTCTTAGTTATATTCATTTCCTCTCATGTTAAAATGGGTTTGAAGAGCTACCCAAAATAAAGAAAGACCTTTTGGAATACAATGTATAATATATATATTGTAAATAAAATAGCCCTGTAGTCTGAAAAACTACAGTCAAATCCCAATCTATCTTTTAGTAGCTATGCGTTTTTGTCCAAATTATTTAACCAATCAAAGCTTATAATCCCTCATTTGTACAATAAAAATAATAATACTTAACATGGGTGTGTTATGGAAACTGAGAGATAATTTATATCAAATATAAACATGTAGGAGCAGTGTATGTTTTCAAATAGTGGTGGTTATTGTTATTTTATTGTTCTTCAATATTAGTTTGACTATATTTGAGGATACCTTGTTTGGTGAAGAGTGACAGCTTATATGCAAACTATAATGTAGATAATCTACTTGGAGTTAATTAAAAGTTAAGATTAAATACTCTTAAAAAGCAACAGTTACCTTTGTATACAAAAAGTACTTACAGAACTTTATAATACCACAGAAAGCAAGTATGAGAACTGTCCACAGGTAAATAGCGTTCTTCTTCTAAATCCTAAAAAAATGTATCAGAAATTATGTTAGGTTAACTTTAAAATAAATACAAACTTGGACACAGGCATAAGAGTCACAGAGGAACTAAGTTAATTATCTAAGGTTATAGGAAGTATTATTTTTAGAATAGAACTAATAAATAGTCATGTAATGCTTGCTCAATTCTTGGCTACTCTTTGTAATTAAGAATTTACCATCATGAGAGACAAATTTAGATGGATTATTATGTTTGTCCTTGTAAATTAATAAGGAATGTATATGCTTTATATAGTCAATTAATATACGATAAAGGAGCCAGGGACATACAAAGGGGAAACGACAGCCTCTTCAACAACTGGTGTTGGCAAAAACTGGACAGCTACATGTAAGAGAATGAAACTGGATTATTGTCTATCCCCATACACAAAAGTAAACTCAAAATGGATCAAAGACCTGAATGTAAGTCAAGAAACCATAAAACTCTTAGAAGATAACATAGGCAAAAATCTCCTGAATATAAACATGAGCAACTTTTTCCTGAATGTATCTCCTCGGGCAAGGGAAACAAAAGCAAAAATGAACAAATGGGACTACATCAAACTAAAAAGTTTCTGTACAGCAAAGGACACCATCGGTAGAACAAAAAGGCATCCTACAGTATGGGAGAATATATTTGTAAATGACATATCTGACAAGGGGTTAACATCCAAAATATATAAAGAACTCACATGCCTCAACACCAAAAATGCAAATAACCTGATTAAAAAATGGTCAGAGGATATGAACAGACACTTCTCCAAAGAAGAAATTCAGAAGGCCAACAGGCACATGAAAAGATGCTCCACATCACTAATTATCAGGGAAATTCAAATTAAAACCACAGTGAGTTGTCACCTCACACCAGTTAGGATGGCCAGCATCGAAAAGACTAAGAAAACAAATGCTGGTGGGGATGCAGAGAAAGGGGAACCCTCCTACACTGCTGGTGGGAGTGTAAGCTAGTTTAACCATTGTGGAAAGCAATATGGAGATTCCTCGAAAACTAAAAAGAAAACTACCATTTGACCTGGGAATTCCACTCCTAGAAATTTACCCAAAGAATAGAAGTTCTCTGAGTCAAAAAGACATATGCATCCCTATGTTTATTGCAGCACTATTTACAATAGCCAAGATATTGAAGCAACCTAAGTGCCATCAGTAGATGGATGGGTAAAAAAGAGGTGGTACATGTACATATACAGAACAGAATAGTATTCAGCTATAAGAAAGAAACAAATCCCACCACTTGCAACAACATGGATGGAGGTAGAGGCTATTATGCTCAGTGAAATAAGTCAGGCAGAGAAAGACAAATACCAAATGATTTCCCTTATTTGTGGAGTATAACAACAAAGCAAAACTGAAGGAACAAAACAGCAGCAGTCTCACAGAGTCCAAGAAGCGACTAGCGGTTACCAAAGGGGAGGGGTGTGGGATGGTGGGTGGGGAGGGAGGGAGAAGGGGATTATGGGATATCATGATTGGTTATATGCTGTGTGTGGGATCACAGGGAAGACAATGTAGCACAGAGAAGACAAGTAGTGACTGTGGCATCTTACTACACTGATGGGCAGTGCCTGCATTGGGGTATGGGGGGAAACTCGATAATATGGGTGAATGTAGTAACCACATTTTCATGTGCAACTTTCATAAGAGTGTATAACCATAATACCTTAATAAAAAATTATATAAATAAAGAAATATCTATGTCTGTCTTTGCCCCTAGTTTCTGCTAATATTTGATCTTTGACCCTGGTTTCTGACACACAGCTCCTTGGAGTGTCTGAATCCCTTTTGTTCTAATGAGGTGACTCTTGGTTGACTCCTTGATGGGAACTTAATTGGTTACTAAGAAAGACCAAGCCACAGTTAGACAGTTGGAACATTCAATTCAACTTCCCATCATCTGGAGCAGGGAGAAGGGCTGGAAGTGAGTGAGCATCAGTGGTGAGATCTGGAGAGTAGGCTGGTGGACACATCCACATGCCAGCAAGGTGACACATCCCAGTTCCATGGGGACAGAAGCTCCTGTGCTTAGGACCCTTCTGGACCTTGCTCCACTCTCTTCATTTGGCTGTTCATCTGTATCCTCTTATCATTATCGTATATTATAAGGGAAATGTGTGTTTCCCTGAGTTCTATGAGCTGTTCAAGCAATTCTTAAGTCTGAGGAGAAGGCTGTGAGAACTTGGATTTATAGTCTGCCAGTCAGAAGTACAGGTTACAACCTGGGACTTGTGACTGGCATTTGAAGTAGGGGCTGACTTGTGCAACTGAGTCTTGTGATGTTAACTTCCTGAAGATAGTGTCATGTAAGGATGTGAACTTAACTCTGTGTGCATAGTGCCAGAACTGAATTGCAGTATACCCTGCTGCCGTCAGAGAATTGGTCAGTGTAGGCAACCCCCCCACCCCACCATCTGCTCAGAGGAGTGTTCTCTGTGAGTACAAAAAAGAGAACAGTGAATTTTCCTTGACAGCCTTTTTCACTGAAACACAATTCATTTAATTTTCTTGTTTAATTGTTCTGAATCAGAGATGATTTTGCTCAGCAGGGGACATTTAGCAATGCCTGGAGATGTTTTTGGTTGTTATAACCGAGTGCTTTTGAGTGTATTTAAAAAGTCACGTGTAGGATTGTATGATCTTACAGATCATAAGATCTGATAACACTATATATTAATGATGATATTCCTATATATGCATGTATTTATGTGTACATATTTTTTCATATTTTTTGCATAACTATTCATATTTATATGGGCTTCCAACATACAACAAAAGGGAAAGGAGTCCTTTACTTCTTCAGGAATTGTGTTCATGAAACTGGTAAACACATAAATCCAAAGAGCCAAATACAAATGTTTTTTAATCTATAAGGACTGAAAAATGGATTAATATTCATCTTGCCTATCCCACATCACTCTTATTTTCCTGAAAAGTAAAGATTATTCATTAAAAAGAAGGCACAAGTCTCAAAATAAAGGCAGGATTTGTCACACAAACTCTCTGTAACAGTGGCTTTAGACATACTTGTGTAGGAACATGAGATGTGAGATGTGTGGCCAGTACTTTGTTACTAACAAAGTGCCAATGTTTTTAAATGCTTTATTCATTTATTTATTTATTTATAAAGTAGAGAGGATTCAACATCACTCTCATTTATTTGCATTCACATATGTTTTCTTAAAATTGCTGAAAATATTGGAGCAGAAACAAATATGCTAGAAATGGCTCCTAATCCTGGGTATTGTCATAGGAATATATGACATGAGACTCACTCAGCTGGGAGTATGGTTACCATTAAGGTAGTAACTGGGGCTTTAACATATTTATTAATAAAAAGGCTCAGTTAAAAATCAGGTGTCATTTCATAACTTACAATTTGCTGTGAGATGTATCTACAGACTTAGGACATTTTAACAATAATTTTAAAATACTTATTTATAGTTACAATGTATACTATTTAAAACAGGTTAAATTAGGTTGAAGCTCCAAATAAAGCAAAATAAAATTAACAGTGATGATTATTCAAGACTGAGTAAGTTATATTAAAATCTACTCACTGGGCCTGTAACAACTGGTTTTATAATCTGAATACCAGGAGAAGAACAACGTAGTTCTGTCTTGGGTAAGCTAGCATTTAAAAAGAAAAGGAAAGGAGAATAAGTATGTATATAAGATTAATAAAAATTCCCCTACTACTTTTCAAGGCTATAAACTTCATTGTATGCTAATAAGAAAAATTTTAAAGAAGCATTATTTTACTTCTATTTTCAAAGTGATTTTGTCTTTCTTTTCACATCTATTTAATGGGAAGAAATATACATTAAATCATAGCCTTGAATATGAGGGGTTTTTATTACAGTAAATACACACATATATTGACATTAAGGGCAAAAATCTTACCTTTTATTTTTCACAGAACAAGCTCCTGGCACACTCCACTCCAAAAATAATGTTCCTTCATACTCTAACTTAATCTAAAAAAGAAGGAAAATAATTCAAACAAAAAATATGCTCCAAAATTTTCATCTCAGTGTTCAGATGTAGGGTTCGATTTTCTGGCTTCTTGTTATTTAAGTAAAGAAAGCATAACTATACTTAGAGTCCTTTGAAATTGTACAAAGTAATATAACAAAGGAAAAGTAACAACTTTTCTGGGACACTTTAGTTATCTCCCCCCCAAACTGTCAGATTTTTATCTAATTTTACTTGAAAAATAATCTATTATGTGTATTAAATAATCTATTAAGAGGTGGCTGCTACTCTAGTAGGTTCTAAGACTAAAGAAAGATGAATGAGACAAGATCCTCAACTTAAAAACAACTGATTTAATATTGAGACCCTGTTTGTACATCACCATCATCATATATTTCATTAGTCACATTTTCCTTATTTCTACTTTTCTCCCCCTTTTCCACATTCTTTCATTTTTAAGTTCTTTCTTTCCCCTCTTGAAGTCCACTTACTCTCTAACATCATCAGTCTGTCTCAGTTTTGGTCCTGCTCTTCAGACAGGGTTGGAACACAATTTCACCTTCTAACATTGTGACATAAAAATTACATGCATACACATTTGTATACATTTTTATGTAGATTACAAATATAAGTTTTAGTGTTTTTAACTTACAAAATGGGGATTTTATTATAATACCAGCTATCTCACGGATTTGATATTATAGAAGTAATGACAATGTATAAGAAGAAAAAAGAAAAATTCACCAGAAGATATAACATAACTCTGAAATATATAAAGCAAAATTTAATAGAATTACTGGAACAAATTTTAAAAGCCACAAACCTAGTGGTAGATTTTTAACACACTTTTCTCAAACCACAGATAAGCCTGAAAAAAAGGTAGCTATATATATATGTAATATATAGGATTCATAAAATTAACCATTATAAAATATATTCTTTTCAATCTCACATAGAATATTTACCAAAAGTGACCACATTTCTGAAGGAAGTCTTAGTCAATCTCAAAGAATTATCACACATACCATGCATTTGATATTAATTAAATAAAATGAAAATTTCTCATAAAGTTGGCAAGTAAAAAACCTTAGGATATTTTTAACGTTAAAACAACTATTTCTGAATGATTTGTGGAGTAAAGCAGAAATAACAATGGAAAAAGAAAAAACATTTACAAACAGTAAAAGCATTTGATGTTATCAAAATTTATAGTATGTAGCATAAATAGTACCTAAAAGGAAATTTATAGCCACATATATATAAATAAATATATATGTGGCTATAAATATATATATATTTAATGTAACACACACACACAAAAGAAATAAAGTAGTTTGAAGGTGAACAACTCAGTTTTCAGTATAAGATGCAAATAAAATAATAGAGAAAACCCAAAAAAGTAAAAGAAAGGATATAAAAGAGAGGAAAAAACAGGAATTAACACAAAGAAAACAAACTGGGAAGAGTTAGTGGTGATGTAGTTTTTAATCTACTGAAATTTCCTTATAAACACAGAGAAGACGATTAGGATAGTACTAAGACAAAACAAAACAAAAAGACCCCACTGGACAATATCAACAGTAAACTCAATAGTGAGGTATCTCTTAAAATCCCAAGATATAGGTGGGCTGGAACAAACCATCTAAAACAACTAGACTCGTGACATCAGCTTAAGGAAGCAAAAGAAAGCAAATACAAGAGACCATAGAAGGAAGTACACCTAAGTCAGCAGTAGGGATTCAGTGGGACCCATGCAGGACAATTTGAGGACAGAAACTCTAATAGAAGGAGTTTTGCACTTGTCAATTTCTAGGTAAGTACAAGAGGCCCATACTCATGTCTGAAAGGGTAGGAGGAGCTGGGACCTATGAACTCCAAAACCAATGAATACTAAAGATACCTTTTAGGGCAAGATGCATAATGGAGATAATCTCAGTTGAGCTGGAAAGCATCAGTAAGGACAAAGGAAAGAGATATGAGAGGGAAACAGAACCTGCAGATCTCTGAAAATATTAGATTTATTTTTGGACACTTTACTAAACAACAGGAGAGGTAACTCTAGAGCCATGAAGTTAGAAAAGTTATTTTGGCCCACCCATCCCTCCTTAAAGATCAGGAAAATGAATTTTATGTACATAAAAACAGAAGAGCACAGAAAGAGGATCACAGACAAATTCCACACAGTTATAAGAAAAAGAAGGGAATAAGAAGCAAAACAGCATCTCTATATGAACATACCCAATAGGTAAATGAGAGGTATAACTTGATGTAGTGGTTAAGTTTTATGTGTCAACTTGGCTAGCTTATAGTGCCCTGTCATTTAATAAGAAACTACAGATTTTGCTGTGAAGGTATTTTATAGATGTTTTTACATCTACAATCACTTGAGTTTAAGCAAAAGAAACTACCTTTGATAATGTGGGTAAGTTCTCTTCCATCAGTTGGAAGCCTTCAGAGCAAACACTGAGGTTTCCTAGAAATGCAGTTCTGCTCCATGGCTGCAGCATTAACTCTGTTTGAGTTTACAGTCTGCTGACCTGACCTAAAGATTCCAGATTTACCAGTTCCCAATAGTCACATGAGCCAATTTCCTAAAATAAATTTCTTAATATATACATGTGCGAATTCCTTTGGTTCTGCTTCTCTGAATAACCCTGGCTAATACACATACTATTTCAAACTTAGGCAAAATAAATGGGAAAATGATAGAAGTTATGCAATAACAATATAAATCAGAATTTCAAACTCATATATAAACTAGAACTCAGGAAAAATAGAAATAAAGAAAAAGCCATTTCAGAAATGAACTAAGGAGAAACAGTTGTGAATAAACTTTAGTGATAAATAGGTTTTCATCTTAAAGACTTTAGTGATAAATAGATTTTCAAAAATAAGAGTCAAAAAGTAACTCAAGAATAAGTGACAAATATAAAAGACAGGCAATAAAATACAATATATGTATGGTTAGAAGTCCTGAAGAACCAAAGTGCTTGGAACAGAACAATAACATTAACTATAATTCAAGAATATGTGAAAAAAATAGCCTGAAACAACATATTGAATGGGCACATCTTATGCCTAGGAAAAGCAATTAAGAATGATTTTTTAAAAAGCAACCCAGGAGATATACATAGGCATGAACTTAAAAAGAAATTCTTTGGGAATCTTGACAAAAAAAAGTTATTCATAAAGGAAAGAAAATCTGATTCCTAGCAGACTTTTTAGAAGCAACACTTTATGTCAGAGACAACAAAGTAACATATAAAGAAGGAAATAAAAACATTAGCCCATAATTTTTTTGTCCAGATAGACCAACTTTTAGATGTAAGTCCATAGATAAGCTGTGTGACCATAAAATGACTCGGGAAATCTTTCTCCATGAGCTATTCCTGAAGAATCTACAAGAAAAAGAGTTTCAGATCACCAAAATGAGTGCAGAAACATCAACATAAGGACTGATGCTAAGTATTAAATATAAATTTTTCTGTAGACCACACCAACATGGTGGCTACAAAAAAAGAAATAGAGTTGTCCATGACCATACTCTGACAGTGTATCAGAACATGGTAGTGGGAGCATCAGGGTAATGGTGGCCAAATAATTTCAAATTGCTCCACACATTTCCAAAAACACAAAACAAAACAAAACTACACAGATCAACATATAAAACCAATAGAATTCTACATTACAGCATAACTAGAATACAAAGCACATCGCAAACTTCAAGAAATCTGTAAGTAGAAGAATAAAAATTTTTAGCAAAGCTCACTTAAACTCCTGTCATAATCCCTGTGGCAAGTAATAGGCCTCATAAAAAAAAACTGCAGGGAAAAGAAAAGACAGGAACAAATAGTCAAGATTAATTAAAATCACCTAGAAAGAGAAAGGACACCCCTAGTGCAAAAAAAAAAATACCACAGAAATCTCCTGGAAGATCATAGCATTGACTATAAGAAAGAGAATTAGAACCATGTATGACTTGAGTGGGAGCCTCAGAAAGGCATCACTTCTGGAAAAATGACTAAAGGAAAGGAGATACACCCTTCAGAGAGAGAGTGGTGAAGGGAAAGAGAGCCAAGAGGGGGAAATTTAGGATGTTACAAATCAAAACAAAAAACAAAAACACACACACACATAGAGGAAATACAATACAGCCAATAAAAGGCCATCAATTAAAGAAGTTTCACTTTGCTACACTAAAAGAAGAAAACCTTAACTATGAAACTTCTAAATCAACCCAAGATGCCAACCTGTCCATGAAATTCATAGATATATACACCCTCTAACCATACAGAGCTACTACAGGAGAATAAAAATGAAAACCAAACATTAATGAAACTGCCTTCAAAAAACCAAACAAAAAAGCACAAGAAAACTGCAAACTAACACCCTAAACTGAATTAAATATCCTCAAACAAGCATTGGTGATAAGAGAAAGAAAAATCTTGAATTTTAAATTCACAAACTAGGGACAAAAAGGAACCACAAATAGAAAGAAATAACAGTTGACTGAATGAGGAAATGAAACAGATGGATAACAAAGGATAAGAAAACTAAATTAAAGATATGGATTGGAGATTATATTTAAATGACAATTGAATAAAAATCATTGAAGAAAGGAAGAAAAAAACCAGGAGAGTGTAAGTGAAATAAATAAAAAAGAAGAAGAATCAGTGAGAAAGTGCTTGGAATGGAAGGCAAAATCCAACACCTGTATAATTGGAGTCTCTGGAGTCAACAAACAATGGCAAACAACTAATATTTAAATCTATAACTAAGAAAGCTTTCCAGAAATAGAAGATCTGAATATATATGTAGAAAGGGATCCCTAGTACCTGGAAAAATGGACTTATAAAAATTGACTCTAAAACATATGTGAATCTGTTGGACTTTAAAGATAAAGGAAAAGCTTTAGTCCTCCTAACAAAAATATCAAATAGGATAGAAGCACACCAGAATTCTCAAAAGCAGCATATAAAGCAAGTTAACACAGAAGGTAACT